AGTAACCAAAACAGCATGGTACTGGTACCAAAACAGAGATATAGACCAATGGAACAGAACAGAGTCCTCAGAAATAATACCACACATCTACAGCTATCTGATCTTTGACAAACCTGAGAGAAACAAGAACTGGGGAAAGGATTCCCTATTTAATAAATGGTGTTGGGAAAATTGGCTTATTCATTCTTTCTATTGTTTTGTACCCATTAACCATCCTCACCTTCATCCGATTCCCCGACTACCCTTCCCAGCCTCTGGTAACCACCCTTCTACTTTCTATGTCCATGAGTTCAATTGATTTGATTTTAGATCCCACAAAAAGTGAGAATATGCAAAGTTTGTCTTTCTGTGCCTGGCTCATTTCACTGAACATAATGATCTCCAGTTCCATTCACATCCCGAATACAAATTAATACATGGTAGAAGCTGTGTTCTGTTGAAGAAGTTAGGAACATATTCAGGCTATATTTTGCATTTTTGAAAGATGGTTAAAATATTTTTAAAATGTTTATGCTGAAAGGAGAAAGTTCTGTGAACTAGAAAATTTGTATGAATTTAAACATAACTCAGAGATGAAATCTGAAAGAAAACAAGGCCCCTCTTTGGTAAATTTTATAGTTTTGATGCTGTTAATCACATTTGATGCCTCATGGTCACCAAAGTAAAGTAAATTATTTTGAATTAACATTCCCTCCAAAACTTGTTATCCCCAAGCATGTAAAAAGTAAAAAGCAATAAAAGCCCAAGTTGCAAAGAAAGATGTGCTTCTACAAGAGAATGTGGAGGCTGCTGGAAGGTGGTGCATTCCAGAGAGCTTAAGATTGAGCTCTGATAACAGACAGACCTAAATTTCTGCCACATTTCACAATGTGGCTGTGCATTGGCTGCTCAACCTTGCTAAGCTTCAATATTTTTGTGTAAGAAAAATATACGTATTTATTGTACCTAAAGGTTGTTACGAGAATTAAATGAGTGTGTGTATATAACCAGAGTGCCTGGAACATTAAATGCTTAATGCACATTAGCTATTACCCTTATCATTATTATCAAGTTAAATTAAGCCAATATAATCATAAAGTTGGAGACTGAGTTTACGAGGGCAGTGGCAGAGCCACATAGCTAATCATGAGCTGCTGTTTAATAAAATGAAAGGAAGTTACTGTTTACATAACACCAGACAAAGAGGACATTTTGGAGAAACTAGGTTAATATAAAAAAACAAAAAAGGTTTTTAATGCTTATCGTAAGTGCGAGAGAAGAAATTGAGATAACATGGCATTAAGGAACTATTTAGTCTTGGGAGATACATAAAATCAAGGTGCTGCCCCACTTTTACCCTTTTTCTGCTTTGTTAATCCTTTATTGAGATATAATTCACAGCAGTACAATATATACATATTAAATATGCTGCTTGATGAATTTTATGATTTTATGTATATGCCCATGGAACCATGACCACACCAACATATAGCATGCATCCAGCGTCTCAATAGGCCCCTGGTGCCCATTACAGTCAATCGACCACCCATTTCCCAAAGGTAATCACTCTTCTGTTGATGATAGGAAGGTTTGGATTTCCCTCTTAATCTAGAAAAGGGGCCCTTGAGAAATTTGATGTCCTCTTTCTTTTGCCTAGCTAGACTTTAATTCTCACCCATTAATTTTACTTTAATTCTAGGTCATCATGCCTCTAGCCTACAGTCATGCTCTCATCGACATGCCCCTGCTTACTTTATCTGCACTGTGACGTTCTTCTGACATGTAGGGGGTTTTCTCTTCACTATTATGTTAATGAGGTTTCGTTGCACTTTTGGATCCATGAATGCCCATAAATACTATTATTTTTGACTGTCATTGTATTGTGTTTTCTAAAGCATCCTGGGCCAAGGCTAAGTAAGGAGACACAGGAGCTTTAAGGAGACCTGAAGGTGAACTCTAGGGGCAGCTACACTCTCAAACTCAACTTCCCTGAAGAAGGTTTTCTGGTTCTAGTCTCAGTGTCAAATCATGATGCAACAGCAGAGTGAACTCAGTGTTTTTGGTATGAAGAAGATCTCCATGTGTTACCATCATCAACATCTCCTGTGCTGTTAATCTTACCCTAGATACCTGACCCAGGTGCCCATGCTGTGAATTCTTTCACTGTAGGAAAGAGAAACAGGTACAAAAGATGCACAGACCTCTCATGGGGGTCCCTGGTCAATCGAGGTGGGTGCCCACTTGCTAAAATGACCCTGACCCCTCATTTGGCCACTTGACCACTGGTAACTCTAAAGGCAAATGAAGCCCTTAGTGACCAGAAACACAGGATCCCTGGTTTAAAAAGCTGATCACAGAGAAAGTAGAAAAATCCATAATGTCATCCTTTTCATAGCAGTACTTATAAGCTTTGAGCTTGTATTTTCCCACACTGCATGAAAATACCAACAGTGTAATAACGCAACTTCGAAAAAATCAAATAGTAGCTACGAAAGCCCTCAGCCCACAGGTTGCTGTGATTTTCACTTGAGTATGTTCAAGGGTTCATTTTATTTTTGACTTTAAAATTCACACTCAATTTTGACACATGAGACATATGTCTCAGCTCCTTACAGTAACAATCCTGTAAAAACAGATGACTCAGCCACCAGTTACAACAGCATATTATTGCAGTATTCAACAAAACATGCCTTATGCTGACTACAGAGAGGTTTCAAGTTGATGAGGCAAAAACAGCAATGTCCCATCTCAGAACATATGCTATACTCTAGTAAGGAAAAAAGAGCCAAATATAA